TTAATCATTTTTGAGTGTACAATTGAATGGCATTAATTATGGTATCAGTATTGTACAACTACTGCCACTATTTCCAAACTTTTTCTTCCCCAAGCAAAACTCTTTAACCATTAAGCAATAACTACCCATTTTCCTTTCCTTCCAGTTCCAAATAAACTGTGACCTATTTTCTGTCTCTAAGAATTTGCTTCTTCTGGATACCTCTTATAACTACGGTGGATGCCCCCACCATGTTTGTTCTTTGTGTTGGACTTACTTCACTTACCATAACATCTTCAAGGTTCATCTTGGCTGTACTATGTATCAGAACTTCATTGCTTTTTATGACTGAATACTATTCCATATATACCACCTTTTTGTGTCCACTCAGCTGTTGATGGTAACTTGGATCGTTTCTAGCTGTTGGCTGTTGAGAATAATATTGAAATGAACACTGGCATATGAATATCTCTTTGAGCCCCTGCTTTCAGTTTTTGGGGATATATAACCCCGAAATGGCATTGCCGGTAATTCTATGTTTAGCTTTTTGACTTGCCAACCTATTTTCCACGGTGACTGTGCCATTTTACATTCCCACCAACCCTGTATAATTTCTCCACATCCCACCAGCTCTGTGTAATTTCTCCACATCCTTACCAACACGTTATTTTACATTTTTAAAATGATACTCATCCTAGTGTGAAGTGGTATCTAATATTGTAGTTTTCATTTGCATTTCCCTAATGACTGATGGTATTGAACATCTTTGCATTTGTGGATTGACCATTTATCTTCTTTGAAGACACGTCTATTCAAATCTTTTGCCCATTTTCAAATTGTCTTTTGTTGTTGAGTTTTGTAGTTCCTTATGTTTCTAGATATTACCAGACAGATGGCTTATCAATATTTTTTTCTCCTTTTCTTGGTTGTCTTGTCACCTTCCTGATAATGTCCTTTGATAAACAAACGTTTTTAACTTTGATGAAATCCAATTTATCTATTTTGTTTCTTTTGTTATTCATGCTTTGGTGCCTTATCTAACAATCATTACCTAAGGTCATGATGATTTATCCCTATGTATTATTCTAAGAGTTTTATAGTGTTAGTTCTTATACTGACCCACTTTGAGTTAATTTTTAAAAATTGTATGAGGTAGGAATCCATTCCTTCTTTTGCATGTGGAAATCTGGCTATCCTAGCACCTTTTTCCCACCTCCACTTTTAATTGAGATGAAAAATTAAAAAATAAGATTTTTACATTTCCAACATTATTCCTGATACTGGGAATATTTTATATTTTACTTTCTGAAAATATTTGATTAACTGAATTTTCCAAACTAAATTCCTGTGCAGTTAACTGCTATTTCTTAAAAGACAGGAGAAAGTTACAGGAGAATTGGTACATTAGAATTGGTAAATGGAAACTCTTTAAAAATTGGGAGTAATCCTTGTTGATTTAAGAGAAGAGATAAATTAATGACCCTTATTTTAAAAATAAGGAAATAATGTGAATTATGATTAAGAGGTAAAAAGGTTGAGCTAATGATTTTATTTAAGCTTTCAAATACTTAAAGGGCTATTACATGGAGATTGTTAATTACCATCCACCTTAACAGGAACAGAGTTAGGAAAAAAAATATTCAACTTGCAATTGGAAAGACTTCACTTTGACACCAAGAAAAGGTTTTTAATGACAAAATAAGAAAATAATAATGATAATGCTTATTGAGCATCTACCATGCATCAGGCTATTTTGAGTCCCAAGAGGTAGGTATTGTCATCAGAGATGAACTTGGACTTGAACCCAAGGAGTCCAACACTGTCCCTAGTCTCTTACCCATCATGCTAAACCCCCTCGATTAAAGGTGAACTTATGTTAGAACACTCCTTCCTCCCTTCTGAGAAAAGTCACTGCCTTTCCATTAGCAGAAAATTTCAAAACAGGATGACCATTTCTCAGTCAAATGAAATTCATAATCCTGACACATTTCTGTCTTCTGATGCTGTTCAAACACTAGTTCCTTTCTTACAGTTTTTCTTCTAACAGAGTCATCTGGATCCATTCTTATCTTCCTCCCTTCTCTAAAATGCCTAGCAGGGTACTTCCAATGTTTTGCAATGTTACATAAATACCATCTTGGGTAATATGGACAAATGCCCAGTGACACATGTCAGGGAAACATGATACTTTTTCCCCCCCTTTTTAATCTTTGGGGCTTTGTTTTAGTAATTCATGGAGACATTAACCTTTCAGGTGGATTTGAGAATCCTTTTTATTTATTACAATTTTGTTTATGCTTTGAAACCCAAGAACCTTGAAGTACTTATTCCCTGGTGAGCACAGCATGGTGTACGTGTGTCTGTTTTCTCTGAATACATCTCCTGTCAGGGCTCCGGGGTGTGGGCTACAGACTGTCCTCTCTGCAGGAGATAATGTGCTGTGCTCCAGCAGGTGTGCTGTCATAACAAGGCCCCGATTCTCCTACCTTCTTGGGTGCCCTCACATCATCATTTCCATGATACTCTTTTTGGCTGAGTCTATGGAGAAAGCAAGAGATAATTCATTTTTGTAATAAGAAATAAGATCAGAAATGGCAAAGTGTTTTACTTGAGAAATCACAAAGTGTATTAGCAGCAGACCTTGAACTACAGTCCACATTTCTGATCATAGTAGAAAGTTAAGAGCAGCAGCAAGCAAGTGAAAGAAAGAAAGAGCAAGAGAAAGAGATGGGGGAGGAGGGAGGGATGGAAGGAAGGAAGAGAGAGAGAGAACAAAATGAAAGGAAGAAAGAAAGAAAAAAGGAAGGAAGGGAGGGAGGGAGGGAAGGAGGGAGGAAGGAAGGAAGAAAGCAAAAAAAAAATAGCAGTGGTTTTCAACTGGAATACTTGCCCTAGGGTACATGTGGCAATGTCTGGAGCCATTTCTGGTTGTCACAAATGGGGACAGAAGATGGTGGTCGCAGCATCTGGCTGGTAGAGGGCAGGGCCGCCGCTGACCACCCTGCAGTGCACAGGCAGCTGCTGTGACAAAGAGTCACCATCCCCAGTGGCGCCACCGCCCAGCAGCTCTGTTTTGGAGTCATGGAAATGGGGTTCGAACCCTCCTCTGCATCTTACTTTGCAACTGCATTTCTCAGAGTCTGTTTTCTCATCTGAAAGAACAAAACAACTGCCACCATAAACAAACAAACCAAACCAATCAAACAAAAACCCACTTTCAGGGTGGTTGTAAGAGACCAACTCGAAAGCACTGAACAGAGAGTGCTGAGCATATGGTGGACCCAGCAAACAAAAGTCAGGGCCCAGCCCACGGAGCTTAGTCACAGGACATGACAGCAGCAGAGAATGCTGGAAAGACAATGTCACTGAAACGAAAAGGAAGGCTCCCTCGCTTCCTATCAGCTTGTACAGGGAAAAGAGCAAAAGGGATGGCCAGAGACAGGCCCAAGAGAGTCAAGCAGCATCAAGGATGTAGCAGGAGGGGAGGGGAAGAGAGGATGAGACTGGAAATGGAAAGCAGTGGAATGCTGGATAGGCAAGAGAGATTTCAGCAGGGACTTGGCGATGACTTTGAGATATGCAGGAGGAATCACAAGGCCTTGGTGAGCAAGTAATAAATGGTCTTAAGAGAGGAGTCCAGGATGAATGTGAGATTTCCAACTTGGGTGCTTGGGTATTGGTGAGGCCATTTAGCAAGGTAAAGAAATCAACGGGCAGGGCAGATAATAAGTTCAAACATGGACATATCAAGTTTGAGATACCTGTGGGTTATTTCGATGGTGACCAGGTGGCAGTGCGATTCGGAAACCTGAGGAAGAGTGAAAGATTTGAGAGTCAGAAACCTGAAAGCAGTAGTCGAATCCATGGTAACAAATGAGATTTTCTAGGGAGAGCATTTGAGTGAGAAAAGAGCAGAAGACAGAGCTCTTAAGAGGTGGACAAAGAAAGCTAAGTTGGCACAACCAAGGGGACCAGACCAACAGAAAGGGAAGGTAGAAGAGTCTCAAAGTCAAGGCTGAAAAAATATCAAGAACAGAAGTGCAGTCCACAGTATCAAATGTCATAGAAAAAAATAAATGAAATCCAAAGTATCTAGACGATTTGGTAGTTGAGTGGAAGTGCTCATGAAAAGTGAAATGCAATGGTGAACAGATAAACAGAGTAAATAGTAGTTCAGAAAGTCGAAATAAGGGACAAAGGAAAGACAGACTGTCAGGAAGAGAAGCTGTGCAGGCGCCCCCGCTGAAGATGGGCGGCACTTACGCACATTTACACGCCGAGAGGAGGGAACGGTGGAGGCTGACGATACAGAATACGTCACAGGGAGAACGGGCAGATCAAGGATGGGATGTAGAAGCAGAATGACCACTTCGAGGCCAGAGGAGACTGACTCACCCTTCAAAACCGGGTGAAGCCGGTTAGCTGGTTACGGGTCTAAGTGGGTCTGGAGGGTGAGGGAACTCGAGTTGGAAGGAGTTCATCTTGAAGAGCCTTGCCCTTCACTGCTGAACTCTAGGCGAGCTCAGGAGCTGGTCTGGGACGTGGGACACAGGAAGAAGCAGGCGCAGGGAATGACCTTTAAGGACTGGGGAGGGGCACTGACAAGTTAGAAAGTGAAGAGAGACTCAGACTACAAGAAGCTAGCATATGAGGGGAACCTCAAGATATCAAAGTCACTTTGGGATTCATATCTAATTATTTTTCCATCAGCAACAAAACCCATCCATTCTTAAAGAGAAGCAATAAACTAGGGTTTGTTTGAAAATGGCATATTGTATGTGGGGTGACCAACCAAACTCCAAATTAAACAGGGCATGGGGTCAGCCAGTTACTTCTGTGGAGCCATTGTGTCATCTTGTCTGGAAGTGACCATATCTTATAGGATTCTTAGCCCTTTATTGGTCTTGTGGTAACACAGAAACTTGAGTTTATTTTCTATAATCCCATAATCAAAAAAGGATATAGAAATAATCAACGGAAGAGAAATGAATGAATCATGATGAAATTGTTTTCTTTTGCAGAACCTTGCCTTCTTTTGAGCGTAAGTCATGAGCTGGTTGTTCCTCAGAGACCTCCTGAGTGGAGTCAATGAACACTCAGCGGAGACGGGGCGGGTTTGGCTTGTGGCTGTGTGCATCCTCCGTGTGCTGGTCTACGTGGCGACAGCAAAGCAGGTGTGGAAAGATGAGCAGAAGGACTTTGAGTGCAACGTCAGACAGCCCGGTTGTGAAAATGTGTGCTTTGACTACTTCTTCCCCATCTCCCAGGCCAGACTCTGGGCCTTACAGCTGATCGTGGTCTCCACACCTTCCCTTCTGGTGGTTCTGCATGCAGCCTCCTGCGAGGGTAGAGAGAAAAGGCCCAGAGAGAGACTCTCCGTCGGCCCGGGTAGGAGGGGCGGGGGCCTGTGGTGCGCTCACCTGGTCAGCCTCCTGGTTAGAACTGGTTTGGAAATCGGCTTCCTGGTTTTATTTTACAAGCTGTACGATGGGTTCAGTGTTCCCCACCTCGTGAAGTGTGACTTGAAGCCTTGCCCCAGCACTGTGGAGTGCTTCATCTCTAAACCCACCGAGAAAACCGTCTTCACCCTCTTCTTGGTGGTCAGCTCAGGCCTGTGCATTGTGTTGAATATCACTGAACTGAGCTTTTTGGTTCTCAAGTGGCTGATTAAGTACTGGCTTCAAAAATACCCTAAAAGACTCAGGTCTTCAGCGTGGGAGCGCCGCAACCTCAGGTCCCCCAACCGCGCTGAGCTAGGGGCCCCGGCCCTGCTGCAGGACCACCGTGAGGACTCCGCTGGGAGCCCGCCCCGCGGGATGGAGCAGAGCTACCGCGTGCCGCACGAGGGTTAGGCGAGGAAAACCTGCGTCCCTCCTTAGGCAAGACAAAGGGTGTGGGCCTTAATTGTCATTTGAAAGGAATCTTAAAAATTTCCATATGCACTCGGTTATGTATGTTAGAGTTCTCATTGTCTCCCTGTAGGGTTCATGTGGGTCCCCTGAGTTGTGTTTTAATAGTCAATCAACAATGAATCTGAAGAAATCCAACTGATAGCATGATTCAGAGTGCTTTGATCTGTCAACTGGAAAATATAAAAAGTGACCCTGTTGATAAACGTGATGGTCACGGAGGCGCTAAGGCTCTTTCCGAAGTGGCCCAGGCCGACTGAGGCTGTGGAGAGAAAGCCCACGGGGAGCAGGGGGCGAAGTGGTCTCCAAGGTAAAAGCAAACACTACTGAAACAGTCCATTTAGGACTGAGCTAGCAGACACTCCGAGAAGGTCACTGTGCAGTCCCGCAGGGAGGGAGGCCCCGGGAAAGAAGCCGACTGATGGGGGCCGGGGAGGACTCAGAAAAAGGACATGCCCCCTCAATACCTGACACTTCTCTTTCACCGTGGAACATTGCAATGCTGCGCAATTTCCATACTGTTGAATCTTTTTGAAGTGAGGAATTCACAATGTATTATACAATCTGTCACAGTTTGCCTACAGTTTAGTAGTACATCTCCCTCTGGAATAGATAATAAAATGAGCACTGTACTGCTACATTGATGCAAAACATGTCAACGAATAAAGACGTGTTTATGACCACTTAATCTGAAGACCATAGCTTTCTCTTACTTTCCTGTATAAAAATCACAGATATATTCTTCTTGGATTTAATATTCTAACATATGTGCGCTTCTCCAGAATAAAAATGAAATGGTTTTGCAGTGTTACTTGGCTGTCACCAATATCATTACTTGGCTGCACTGGGTATGATTATTCTGTAAAATGAAACTTGTTCTGACATTTTTAGAACAGGATTTGCAACTCTGCTTGGTAAAGATAGCTCAGAAATCATTATTCTCTGCTGGGAACTTTTTAACAAAAAGTCAGTGCATAGAAATGTAAATTTAGCTGAAACCAATTATGTCATGTCTTCCACCGCCTGCCTTCTTCAACAGAAAATGTCTTACTACAATTCATGCATAATGAAGGTAATTTGTGCCTTTATGTGGTTTACAGACAGTGTCATCATCTGTCTTAACTGTGCAGAGAGGAAGGTGAACTCTGTGGCTTTCCATTCTTCAACTCATACCCCAAATCACGTGCAGCAACACCCATGTGCTTTCCCATTTGACATGGAAACATCCAGCCTTTGCAAATGCAGGTGACCCTTGAAGGATTTAAAGGAATAATTTTTTTTTTCTTTGAACAATGATTGATGGTTGAAGAGGTTTAAGGTTTTTGAGGCCCTGAGCATGGCATGGGATCTAAAAAATAGGGTTTTGGTATGCTAAACTAAAATAGAAATGAAGGAATTTTCCAGTCTGAGTTTGCTGCCAAAAATGTTTTTGGGGGTCTCAGCCTCTTTACATCAGTTACGCCAACAAGTCCTGCTCAAGCAAAAAGGATTGTTACATATTTTCATTCTTTGGTTTTCCATTTTTCACAGAGATGGAAGGGTAATGGATGCAAGAGCCTTTAATGAAGCTGCTTAGATAGGAAGGACAGTGATTTTTTTTCCTTTAACGTCATTTAATTTATAAAATGACTCTCTTGTAAGAACCTTTTGAAGGTTGTCCTGGTGTCAGTAAAAACCCAAAGCATTTGACTGAGAGAAATTGGCAGTTATATGCTGGCATCTTTATTCTGTTTCTCTTATTAATCAATTAATATTTACTGAGCAATGATCAACAGAAGCAAGACACTGTGCTATGCACCTTCAGGGATATAATACATACTTCCTGCCTGAAGAAAATTTCCATTTTCATGAAGCAACAAAGAAGTGAAGATGGACCTTCTGGGGCTCAGAAAGCAGACTGTGACCTTTGGGATGAAGAAAATGACCTCCCCTCCCCGCCAAAAAAAGGCAGTTATTTTTTTCAAGGTCGTACATCTAGTAAAGGCAGAATTAACAATCAATGATAGGTCTTCTTTAAACCATTTTATTAAGACATCAGGCTCCCCAGATCATTAAACAGATGTCTTCCTAATGTCATTCAAGCCATTCCTGATGTGCAGTGATTTTGATTGCCTAGCACTTATCCCCGAAATCTTTATGGTTAAAGACTTTGCCCCTGGCCACAGGGTTTCTTCTAATTAGAGCCAGAGGGAAATTATCTCCAAGTGCTTGTAGGAAAGAATGCCTAGGGCTGCAGGGAGTTGCATCTTCAGTCTTCCCTGCATCTTCAGTCTTCCCGAGCAAACTAAACCTATTTCCTTAAGACAGGCAGACTGCCAAGACCAGAGGGTTAGGGAACAAGGCAAAGACCTGAGGGTGTGTGAATTTTTCAGTCCTGCTGTCACTAATACTGGCTCCACCCCCACCCATTCTTCAATTTAGTTACAGGAGAGAGAAATTCCCCATTTTTGCTTAAGCTACTTTAAATTGGGTTTCTGTGTCTTGCACCTGAGTCCTCTTAAAACCATGATTCTCCATAAATTTATTTTCTGTCCAACAGAAAAAAAGAGGTAGGACACGTCTCCTGCACTTTTCCTCTTGTGGGCATCAAGCATCCTAACCTTTACATGTGTATGTAGAGAATGTTTGTGTAAATGGGAAAAGAGGTAGAAGGAGCTCAACACAGGTGATAAGACAGAGAGATGAACTTTATCTTTACAAAGCTTTTCATTATTTCACATTACTTTTGTTCTTAAAATTTTAATGAAGAAAATGAGGCAATTGAAAATCCGAAGTGCCTCAGATCTCTTCCAGCTCCCATCCATCACGTGCATCTAACACTTTCCTTAAATATTGATGCCAATTAATTCCTAGTTTACATTTAAGTTGGGTGTCTATTCGATAAGATTCTTAGCCCTTTATTGGTCTTGTGGTAACACAGAAACTTGAGTTTATTTTCTATAATCCCATAATCAAAAAAGGATATAGAAATAATCAACGGAAGAGAAATGAATGAATCATGATGAAATTGTTTTCTTTTGCAGAACCTTGCCTTCTTTTGAGCCTAAGTCATGAGCTGGTTGTTCCTCAGAGACCTCCTGAGTGGAGTCAATGAACACTCAGCGGAGACGGGGCGGGTTTGGCTTGTGGCTGTGTGCATCCTCCGTGTGCTGGTCTACGTGGCGACAGCAAAGCAGGTGTGGAAAGATGAGCAGAAGGACTTTGAGTGCAACGTCAGACAGCCCGGTTGTGAAAATGTGTGCTTTGACTACTTCTTCCCCATCTCCCAGGCCAGACTCTGGGCCTTACAGCTGATCGTGGTCTCCACACCTTCCCTTCTGGTGGTTCTGCATGCAGCCTCCTGCGAGGGTAGAGAGAAAAGGCCCAGAGAGAGACTCTCCGTCGGCCCGGGTAGGAGGGGCGGGGGCCTGTGGTGCGCTCACCTGGTCAGCCTCCTGGTTAGAACTGGTTTGGAAATCGGCTTCCTGGTTTTATTTTACAAGCTGTACGATGGGTTCAGTGTTCCCCACCTCGTGAAGTGTGACTTGAAGCCTTGCCCCAGCACTGTGGAGTGCTTCATCTCTAAACCCACCGAGAAAACCGTCTTCACCCTCTTCTTGGTGGTCAGCTCAGGCCTGTGCATTGTGTTGAATATCACTGAACTGAGCTTTTTGGTTCTCAAGTGGCTGATTAAGTACTGGCTTCAAAAATACCCTAAAAGACTCAGGTCTTCAGCGTGGGAGCGCCGCAACCTCAGGTCCCCCAACCGCGCTGAGCTAGGGGCCCCGGCCCTGCTGCAGGACCACCGTGAGGACTCCGCTGGGAGCCCGCCCCGCGGGATGGAGCAGAGCTACCGCGTGCCGCACGAGGGTTAGGCGAGGAAAACCTGCGTCCCTCCTTAGGCAAGACAAAGGGTGTGGGCCTTAATTGTCATTTGAAAGGAATCTTAAAAATTTCCATATGCACTCGGTTATGTATGTTAGAGTTCTCATTGTCTCCCTGTAGGGTTCATGTGGGTCCCCTGAGTTGTGTTTTAATAGTCAATCAACAATGAATCTGAAGAAATCCAACTGATAGCATGATTCAGAGTGCTTTGATCTGTCAACTGGAAAATATAAAAAGTGACCCTGTTGATAAACGTGATGGTCACGGAGGCGCTAAGGCTCTTTCCGAAGTGGCCCAGGCCGACTGAGGCTGTGGAGAGAAAGCCCACGGGGAGCAGGGGGCGAAGTGGTCTCCAAGGTAAAAGCAAACACTACTGAAACAGTCCATTTAGGACTGAGCTAGCAGACACTCCGAGAAGGTCACTGTGCAGTCCCGCAGGGAGGGAGGCCCCGGGAAAGAAGCCGACTGATGGGGGCCGGGGAGGACTCAGAAAAAGGACATGCCCCCTCAATACCTGACACTTCTCTTTCACCGTGGAACATTGCAATGCTGCGCAATTTCCATACTGTTGAATCTTTTTGAAGTGAGGAATTCACAATGTATTATACAATCTGTCACAGTTTGCCTACAGTTTAGTAGTACATCTCCCTCTGGAATAGATAATAAAATGAGCACTGTACTGCTACATTGATGCAAAACATGTCAACGAATAAAGACGTGTTTATGACCACTTAATCTGAAGACCATAGCTTTCTCTTACTTTCCTGTATAAAAATCACAGATATATTCTTCTTGGATTTAATATTCTAACATATGTGCGCTTCTCCAGAATAAAAATGAAATGGTTTTGCAGTGTTACTTGGCTGTCACCAATATCATTACTTGGCTGCACTGGGTATGATTATTCTGTAAAATGAAACTTGTTCTGACATTTTTAGAACAGGATTTGCAACTCTGCTTGGTAAAGATAGCTCAGAAATCATTATTCTCTGCTGGGAACTTTTTAACAAAAAGTCAGTGCATAGAAATGTAAATTTAGCTGAAACCAATTATGTCATGTCTTCCACCGCCTGCCTTCTTCAACAGAAAATGTCTTACTACAATTCATGCATAATGAAGGTAATTTGTGCCTTTATGTGGTTTACAGACAGTGTCATCATCTGTCTTAACTGTGCAGAGAGGAAGGTGAACTCTGTGGTTTTCCATTCTTCAACTCATACCCCAAATCACGTGCAGCAACACCCATGTGCTTTCCCATTTGACATGGAAACATCCAGCCTTTGCAAATGCAGGTGACCCTTGAAGGATTTAAAGGAATAATTTTTTTTTTCTTTGAACAATGATTGATGGTTGAAGAGGTTTAAGGTTTTTGAGGCCCTGAGCATGGCATGGGATCTAAAAAATAGGGTTTTGGTATGCTAAACTAAAATAGAAATGAAGGAATTTTCCAGTCTGAGTTTGCTGCCAAAAATGTTTTTGGGGGTCTCAGCCTCTTTACATCAGTTACGCCAACAAGTCCTGCTCAAGCAAAAAGGATTGTTGCATATTTTCATTCTTTGGTTTTCCATTTTTCACAGAGATGGAAGGGTAATGGATGCAAGGGCCTTTAATGAAGCTGCTTAGATAGGAAGGACAGTGATTTTTTTTCCTTTAACGTCATTTAATTTATAAAATGACTCTCTTGTAAGAACCTTTTGAAGGTTGTCCTGGTGTCAGTAAAAACCCAAAGCATTTGACTGAGAGAAATTGGCAGTTATATGCTGGCATCTTTATTCTGTTTCTCTTATTAATCAATTAATATTTACTGAGCAATGATCAACAGAAGCAAGACACTGTGCTATGCACCTTCAGGGATATAATACATACTTCCTGCCTGAAGAAAATTTCCATTTTCATGAAGCAACAAAGAAGTGAAGATGGACCTTCTGGGGCTCA